CGGGACCCGCGCTCGCCGGCCGGGCAGCAGAGGCGAAACGCCCGGAGGCCGCGGGCACCGCGCCCATCAACTTCTCCAGTCGTTTCCGTCTAACACAGCTCTCGTTAGAGGGGCCCCTTTCATTCGTGCAGAGAACTGCCCTGTGTTTCCTTAACACAGCTCGTTCTTCGGCAATAATTTTACATTTTCATAGCACCTTTCCTTCCTTCAGATCCTGAACTGCTTTCATTTTATCCACTAACTATCCATAGACTAAATTAAGCTCTGGACAGAGGTGAGTGGAGTGGCATGATACTGACTCCTGCAGCAGGAAACACGTTTTTGCTGAAGTCCGTAAGAAAAATGCTTATTTTGGCATATAGGTGAAACACATGTTCTGAACATTGTACTGTCTTTCATAAAACACTTTACAGCGTTCACCTTCAATTATTTTGTCTTTATGACACCTGTTATGCACCAGCTTTACTGAATCATTGCCATTTCTTTAATATGATACAGGAAACAAGTATGCACGAATGATAGCATTTGTTAGTGCTCCACTATGCAACCAGAAGGGCAAGTACACGTTGAATGTCAAGGCAGAGGTTTTGGGGATGAAACTCAGGGTGAGACTGGTCCTGAACCAACAGAGATTCTGAAGACCACCTGAAGCAAGGAGGAGGCAATTAGGTGTAGTCTTACTCCATGTGAACGTATAGGGCAGAATTTGGTCATAAGTATTATTAAACATCACTTTTTGCACTGCCACTACCTTAACCACCAACTAGCTAAAATAATTTACTAAATTTTAATCCCTCTCCCACCTATTCTGGTTATCTTCAGAGGCTTTGTTCATACTGCTGGATCACGTGATGCAGGTATAATATCTAATATTTTCTACAAAAGCTAGCAATCTACTGCTCACTGCAAAATTAGTTTGCCCACGTTTTATGGCACAAGTCATTAGTCTGATAAAAATGTACATTCTATGTACTTACACCCCTCATCTTTCACTCCAGGTTGTGCAATAGTTGATCAAAGAACTGGAGAGAAAGAATCTGCAAGCCTCAGAAATGAGGTAACTGCTTAGTAATGGCAAAACCTCACTCCATTATTTTCCCCTTTGCTTTAGGGCAGGAATTCAGAAAGTCAAGAATACTCAGAGAAGGTAAATCATTTTAGTGCCATCACACACATTCAACTTACTCAACATATGAACTTGTTTTTACCACACAAATTTCTTCAGACAGTGTCATTCCAAATTCCTGTATCTCCACGCAGGTGCTCATCATCCTTCAACCCATTAAAAACATTTGTATCTGCAGTTGCCAGTTTGTGACTTAAACGTTCAACACTGGTATTTTCAGCTGTAATGTTTAGTTTAAGACATCAGTTACTTCTGCTTTTTAAACACTGAAACATTTTTGTCTCAATCATAGAATTCACTAAACAGTTTTGAAATAAGTCATCCAGAGTAAGCTGTGAATTCTGCTTTTGATTCTAGAATTCAAATTCTGATCTGCAGTAGTTAAACGAGCTACCCTTCAGGCAGGCAGAAATACTGTGCAAGTTACATAGATAAATAGTTTAAACATGCAAATAAAATGTTTTACAAAAATTCCAATATGATGATTTTTTTTCTAGAAAAGAAAAATCACTGATTTCAAAAATGCCCATGAAAGTTTCTCAAACCAAAGAGAAGAAAAAAAAAAATCAAGCATGTAACTTGCTTAATGTTATTAGCTCAAAGGTCCATTGTTTCCTTGAGGTGCCAATTCTGAACGTTCAAGCTGTGGGGAAATTAAATCCTCCTCAGGTAAATAGTTAATGTAATAATGGGCATGATGGACTGGAGGGAATAAGGCAGGAAAAAGTCTTAACTTGTCTGGAATTAGTCCAGATAAGCCCTGCTTCCTCATATCCAGGACCCAACAATCCTTCCTTCTCAAAACGGCATGGGATATGGTATTTATCTAACAAAAATCAGAGGAGAAAAAAGGTGACTAAGAACGAATAAAGGCAATCCATACAGATAAGGAAAACGTTTCAAGTGTTCTTGAAGAAGTCAGGCCTTGTGGTTGGTTGGGTGTGACTACACAGAAAGTGTGGACATTTAAAAGATCCTTAAGTGCCACAAATGCTGTAACACTGATTTTTACCTCCATATATGGCATATTATTTAATCAGTGCTGTAGTCAAAAGCAACATTTGGGTGTATGCATTCTGAATAGACAATAATGAAAAAGTATTATATGAAAAACTTACCAGAATTTGTTTTGTATGCAATACCATGCTGAGTTAATAAATCTTTAATTTTTTTTAATTCTTTTGAAAGTTGCTTGTACTCCTAGGAAAGAAAATACATTTAAAAAGGCTCTCCCACTCTCTAAATACATACATAAAATGGCATTTTATCAAACATAATAGGTCTATGCATAGTTGTTACAGCTTTTGACTTAAAGATCTTAATTTGTGTACTCCAAGAACGAGATACAAATTTTATAAAAATTCTCAGATCTATCCTTAAACTAGCATTTTATCCTAGGACAAAATTACCTTCCTTTGCTACAAGACGAGCCTTATTTTAGCTTCTATCATAAGGCTAGAGTCTGGAAATCTGTCACTTCCTCAGATCTTGACCTAGCAACTTCATGGTCTTGCTTTCAACAGTTTCTGTTGAATCATAGAACCAGGGACTGCTTCACACTTTTCAGAATCAAACCGTACACCTGGAATCTTGAAGGAACCTAAATTTTTTAATTGTATTTCTGTACTTAATAACAAGCAAAAGATTAACCATTTAAGATTCTTTGGTTACCAGAACACTCAAGTTTATGTCAATTACACTATGATGAAGCCAACCAAGAACATTAAAAAAAGAAGTGCAAATTATTAACAGTAAAATAATTAACCATTGATAAAATAAGATGAATTTTCCAGCTCCTGACAGTACCACAGCAAAATGATTATCTTTATAGAAATATATTCAGTTTAACCACAGTTTATGGGGTTATACGCAGGAATTACTAGGTGGTATTTTGTGTGGGCACCATTTTCAAATTAGATGACAACAGTGGCTTCTTCTTTGCATTATAATCAATGAATTCCCTTCCATGCTCTTTTCATGATGTTCAACATGTGCTCTTTTAGGCTGAATACACCTTCTACCTCTATTTTTTTCCATCTTAGTTCTGTTACAGAGAAAATACCTGCATATTCACACAAATTAAAATCATTCAGAAATAAACATGGCATAGATCATGCCGCCTTTTGCTTGTAAAATGGCCAGTATGTTCTGTTGTAAGTCTGGGTAATAATCCACACAGAAAAGTGTCAACAGTCCCCAGGCTAGGTGCACCTTTATTTTCACTAGTAACTCCTTCCTATTTCCACACTGATATCCCTTAGAAAGAGTACTTATAAGGTGTTCAAAGTCCAGGAGTCTACATTAATTCCCATGTAATGCCCTCTTAACTTCTTACTGAGTTTTCAGTTGTGCTGGTTTGTTTTTGACTTGAGGGCTAAAATAAAGATGTCAAATTGCTTTATTTGTAAACAAACTGTTACATAAAAAAACAAAAAATATAATCCCATTAACAGACTTAGGTGAATCCAAAGAATAAATATATAACTTTGTCACACTGAACCATACAGTAAAAAAGGTAGCAATTAATTCCACATTGTAAACATTATGCTTTATACCTTATTGCAGTTCTCTACTGTTTCAAATTCCAGACTTATTGTTTTCTTATTCTGTTTCTCAAATTCCTTTTCTTCTGTTGCTTTTAGAAGACCTGCTTCCTCGAAAATCTCTTTCAGTATTTTTTTGTATCCCTAAAAAAGAAGATTTGTAAAAGATCAATCCATCTGATTCTCATCTCTGCTTGTAAATTGCACTGGCCATTCCAATTCCACAAGCTTCACTTTACAAAACATTGCCATTATGGTTGATATAGCAGTTACAGAGCACAAAAATTACTGTTTGTCAACTGCAGAATAAATGTGTCCATTCTAAAAAAAGATGAACTGCAGAAGTCAGATCAGTACTTTGGCATTAATTGTTCTTTACCAAATAGAGTTGGAAGAACTAACAAACCTTTTCAGTTATTAGTTCATCATACAGAAACTGCTCTGCTTCATCCCACTTCCTTTGTAGTGCTTCAGTCAGAGTCGGATAAACTAAAAAATGGAAGTCACACTTTGTAAAGATTAACAGCATTGTCCTCCATTATTTAAGTGCTTCTCTAGTGCCATACCTACATACTTGTTTTAAGAGCTCAATGTTTCTATACAGTACACAATCTCTACGGCTTTCAAGAGTTGGGGTTATACTTCAAACCCAGCTCACACAAACACAAAGTTTCTGGAGAGTGCTACTGACCAAAAATTTCTCTCTCATTTCCAGGTAGAAGGTCTCATATTTCTCCGTTGAATGAAATTCTAACTGAGCTCTCCTTTTCTGTTATGCAGGTAAATGAACAGATACTATAGGGCTGATTAAGAAAACCAGTCCAAGAAAAAAAGCAAAAAAAAAAAACCACCTGCTGTATCTATGCTAGCAGTGGCAGTTTATTCTAGAAATACCCATTTGATATGATGATTTTAAATACACTTAGCAACATATATTACATTTAATCTTCATTGATATCAAACTACAAGGTCAAATAACCTAAAAATCTACACTCTGAGGCTGGAGTACAATGCCAGCTGCTCGACATGCACAAATGGTTTTCTAAATCTTACCTAAAAGAGAGTGGGGATGGCACACAAGAGGAGTCTCAAATGTCAGAGAGTAAACACAAGTACTTGGCTCAGACACGTAAGCCAATTTATTGCTCTTTCCACAAACAAGAAGAACCTAAATATCAGTAAAAACAAAGATCAGCAAAACTAGCTCCAAATTAAACAGGACCAGCATTCAGGATCAATTTGCTGTGTTCCTATGCTAACAGATGCATTTCAGTAAATACCATAGTCCTAAAGCTTCCAGTACTGTCATCCATAGGATAACAGGTCTTTCAAATTAAGCTCTTTGTAAAAATTCCATCTTCTAATGGGAAATCAACCCTACCTATCTTTGTTACTTGAACTCCCAAGCACCATATTTCTAGCAAAAATGAGAATAAAAGGGAGGGCATATAGGACTCTTTCGAACATCATTGGACAGGAACATCATTCATCTAACAAATTTTGATTCCTGACCAGTGCACTAAATACCAGGCTCTTCTTTTTATTGTTCAAGAGAGCAATACTCATCTGGCCTGCAGAAATTCATTTTGATCTTTGTATTTCCAGTGCTAGTATTTCATGACTGTTCAAAACCAAATGCCTGTGAAGGATTTGTATCACAATATCAAAGGTCATGCAAGAATAGCGATCCTTTCTGTAGCCCCTATGCGAGATAAAAGTTGTTAACAAGGTACCTCCATTTTAGTACAGAATATTTTCACGTTGGCCAAGATATTTTGTCCCTTACCTCACCTTCCCATTAGTGTTATTACAATGATATATCACTCTCTCTTAAGTATTGTATTGTCACCCATCACTATAATAGCTAAGCTTCTCGTATATGAGAATAAACCTATTGTGAACTTTATGATATCTTTAGCAATTCTTCATGATAGAGATCTATTTCACCAGGGAATGTGAGTTTAATTCATTGCATCTGTAAAGCTGAAATGGAAGCTGGAGAAAAGAAGAACATTTATGAACAAAAAGATAAAGGCCTTGTGCAAATCACGTGCCATACATTAGACAAGTCTCAGACACCCTTTCTAACCTTTCTAGTTGAATACTTCCTTGGCACAGATACAGGAACATTTTAATTGTTCAACAGAATAAGTATTTTTATTTTTTCTTAAAAATGTACTCACACCAATTTGTAGTTCTTGAGTTTTGTTTCCCTGCCACTCCCATATATGTAACTCCTTCTTTAATTCTCCCTGCATGCAACCTGGTCTTGTTCTAATACTTGGCTTACTTGGCTTCTCGGCATACTGTTAACTGCCTAATTCTATTCCCTCCTTTTTACTAGACGTTCTTGTGCACAGTAGGCTGGTGGCTTACGTTCAACAAATAACTCTTTTTGTCTACTTTTCCTGTTGGAAATTATAACGTCCTGTACGTTTCTAACAGTGATGATAATACCAGAATACTCCACTCTATCAGGGACAAAAAAATTAAAGTTGCCAGGCTAATGAGAATATGTAAGTAAACTTCATCAGATTTTTATCCTGATTTTAGCTCCCCTCTTCATCTATTCACCTAAATGCTATAAGAAGTCATCTTGTAATTTTATATCAGATCTTAAACCATGAACTCTTTGAGGTAGAAATGTTTCAGTCTGTAGTGTCATGAGTAACTGCAGAGTGCCATGCTGTCTGAATCTGTGGAATCTATGTAATTCATTATTATACCTTTGTCTGTCTGCTCTTCGTTTCACAGGAGTCTCCTTCCCTCATCCACATTCCAACAAATGTGTTGTTGTCAATTTCCCATTCATGCCAGATTCTGAAAAATGAGAACATCAAGAGTTTTATTTTAAATTACTGGAAAGAAAAATGGGAAAACATAGGAAGAAAAGAAGGAATACTCATACACCAGATCCAAATTAATTGTATACATCCCAGTTTTGTTGTCCTAATACTGCCATTTCCTATAGCCAAGATCTGGTCACCTTTTAGTCAGTGAAGTGATCTAGAGATCGTCTAGTCCAACTCCCCCTGCTCGAGCAGGGTCACCTAGAGCATATTGCCCAGGATCACGTCCAGGCGGGTTTTGAATATCTCCAGGGAAGGAGACTCCACAACCTCTCTGGGCAACCTGTGCCAGTGCTCTGTCACCCTCACAGGAAAGTTTTTCCTCAGGTTCAGATGGAACTTCCTGTGTTTCAGTTTGTGCCCGTTGCCTCTTGTCCTGTCACTGGGCACCACGGAGAAGAGTCTGGCCCCATCCTCTCGACACCCTCCCTTCAGATACTTGTGGACATTGATGAGATCGCCTCTTAAGTCTTCTCTTCTCCAGGCTCAACAGGCCCGGCTCTCTCAGCCTTTCTTCAGAGGAGAGATGCTCCAGTCTCCTAATCATGTATCATCATGTAATTAGGTATCAATATTATTCTGGGAGCACAGTTTCATATCAGTTCTCAGTTTATAAACCATTTGCATTTAAAAATTATAGTTTAAACCCAATAAAAAACAGCTTACAGATCTGTCTCACAATAAATCCAGGGCAACTCAAGACTGTTTGAGGGACTACTTATAGCGCTGGTGAGAGTATCTACAAAAACTAATCTCTACTTCTGCTCGTCCTAAAGTTCAGATTCTCTCAATATAATGATGTAACCTTTCCTCTCACACTGGCTCACTGAAGAGAGACAAGTCCTCCACTCAAGCTGCACAGACATCTACATAGAGAAAAATGTTAAAGGTTGTATTTTTAAGGCAGCGTTCTGTTTTACAATTAAATTTATGCCAGCTCTTCCAATGCAGACACTGGATCTACACTGAGCCTTTTATTACCTTTTATTAAATAAGTTTAAAGTGACCACAGCATGTATTTTGTTTTATTTTGCAAGTTTATACGCAACTCAAAATGAAAATATCTAAAAGAGACGAGAAGCCTTTGGTTAATATAAATTGTAGTTGTATGTCATTGGATTTTTTACAAGAACATACAATTAGTGCTGTTGATACTGGTTATTAATCTGCTTCCAGCTAAAGACAGGAGGTTAGCTTTTAATCAGCAAAAAATCTGGCTATTTCAAGACTGAGTACTCGTCTGCATAATGCTCTGGGAGCTACAATGACCTAAGCTAACCAGTAAAAGAATCTTCATTTTAAAACTGCCACCTTTTTGTCAATCTATAAAGTGGTCTGCTAATAATTTAGGTAAAACATAAAGCTCTAAATAGCCTTACCCTAAAATCCCACTATAGGCATTCCATCGAAAAGTCTGCTCATGCTGAGTGACATTATGGAAAGGACAAAACTCGTACTTATACCTTAAAAAAAAAGCAAAAAATAACAAGAAATGTTTCAGATTAGAGTTAAGAACTAGTTTGTTCCTATTCAAAACAGAGTCATATATTCAAATCCATTACTCACGTGGATTCCACAAAACTGAAACACTTGCCAGCAAGCCTAAAAAGATGCGCAGGGCCTAAAAACACCAAAAAATGACATCAAGGAAGAATAATTTTTCGTTAAATTTAAACAAGTTATTGTGGTGACAGATTTGTAAGGAGTACGTCAAAAATTTAGTTTTCTGCTGTACACCAGGAAATCAGTATCTTCCATATGGACTACCATAAATTCCCACTAACATTATATCAATTTGCTTCCAAATCTTTCAAGTTTTTCATCCTCAGCACTCTATGAAATAGGTTAGCTTCTCTCTACAATAAAAACAAGAAACCTGGACACAGACAAATATTTGAAGCTAGCTCCATAAAAGCACTCCTCAGTGCAGATCTTGCCAAAATCTGTAGTCACAATCACCAGGACTCTTACTTGGCAACTGTCTGTCCCCAGAGTCATCTAAACTCCTAAAGTTTATGTCAGTAAAGCCCTTTTGCTCAGAATGTTGTCAGTGCTGCACACATAAGTTTCCCTAAGACTCTCGAACGAGATGTTCTTCTTCACAGTTGGCCTTCAAGATCTGATCCAGTTGTTATTCAGCAAGGTAAGCCACTCAAAAGCTGCTGGAAGAAATGGCAATGCTGTTGTTGTCTTTTTTCTATCTGATAGATCAGTAATCACAACTTTCTGGTAGAACTGACCATTCCATCCTTGCTGTCAATGGAATCTAATATAGGTAACTTGTCATTTGGAAAAGTCCAGAAAAAAAGGATTTCTGGTGTACTGTTCTTCTAATTTTTTCCTATTATTTTTGGTGTCTTCCCATTCAGCATTCTAACTATTATTAATCCTATTTCTAACTATTTCACTTTTCACACGCAGCATGTACATAATTTATATATTTAATTCAGGTTTATAAAACATCTTGCAAAAGAAAAAGTACAATCACATTTAACATCACCATACATAAGTGTCCTTATTGGCCTGAACCCATAAGGAGGTTTATGTCTGTGCCTAAGGTTAGGAGAGAGACAAGATTTAACATTAAATGGGCTGTATCTTTATTTCCTGTTGCTCACCCGTTGCAATTCAGCATTTACTGTACCTACTGTCCTCCATACAGGTCTAAAATCCTTAGATTTCTATGTATTTTGCTACAGTGGTAGGTTATATTGCAGCATCTATGCTTTGCATATGAAATTGAGCCTGGATGACTCATTCTAAGCCTACTTTAAAAACGTCTGAAAAAATAACTTTTGAGTACTATTAAATGATGCTGTCACTTTTACATGAGAATCTCAAGGACATCAGGGATTGTTTCAGAAAGAAAAGAAGTCTTTAATATGGATAAGTGACGGGCTCAAACAATATGGAATAAACACATGGAGAGCAGACTGTGACAAAAACAGTCCGAACAGCCCCTTGACAGAAAGCACCGAAGATGTCAAGCCAGGTTTTTAATCCTCCCGAGGCACAATAAGATGCATTTGGTCATGCTTATTTTCCATTACTCCCATCAAATGATTGGCAAAATTGGTCACTGTGTGCACAAATTCAAGGTAGATTATATACGACTGCCATGAAAATGGTAAAAACCGTACAGAAAAGTAACGTTTGTATATACTATATACCTGATACTGCAGAAGGGGCCATCTTTGGCTGCAGCCTATTTGGTTGAGGCAAGAACGGGTTATTCAACCTTTCAAAAGAAAAAAATTTAAAATACAAGATTTAATCTGCAGTTGTGTTTCTGGGGGGTCGTTATATCCTCCGCTCTCCTCGTGCCCAGCCGCGGGGAGCCGGGCGCG